TCACCCATAGCAACAGCTACCAGGACTTATTTTTTCGGGATTTATTGGAACTTATTAATAAGTTCCTAAGCACATTGAGGTAGATTTCATACGGTTCCTTAGTGAATATCTGATGTGAGTGAAGGCATACATATGAAGGTGAGTGTAAGTGTATTTACGTTAGTGTGAATGTGAGTATGCTGAAATATTATCATAATTAATTAATCCTCAATATATAAGCAAGTCCCATAGAAAAAATAAATCGCGAAAAAAATAACTTTCGATAGTTCCTTATACAAATGTCCTTTGAAAATAAAAAAAAACTTTCTTTTTTAAATCTCCCCTAGTCCCTTCAGGCCTCTTCGAAGGAGATCCGCCTCGCGAAGTCTTCTACTATGCTACGAGAAACTTCGGGAAATTCTTTTCATTTTTAAAGGACATTTGAATGGAACGTAATAGAGGATCATATGCCGATTGTCACTTTCTGTAATTTTTCTCATGTGACGACGCACCAAGGAGAATTTCAAAGCGAAGTTTGAGTGTTTTCCAAGCGAGATTGATATATTGTCCATAGGAAAAGGGCCATTTCTTGACACTTTCCAGTAAATCTCTTAGGGATATTCATGGTGATTTTACGCTAGCTTTTTTTTACATAGCTCTAACCAAAAAAGAGTACTTGTAATTTTTATATAGCAGCTCCTCAAGAGATGTATTCATTGTGAGATAGTCTATCCACTAAATCACACATTCTACCAAAAACTTATTTTGGGGAGAACTTTCCTGGTCAAACAGAACGATGAAGATTGCTGATGTTTTTTGCAGACATAGGTCTGTCGTTGATCTATGTACAGTAAAGGTTCCAGGTCTCTACTTTATCCTAACCAAAAGTTATGAAGCACAAAAGTTACTAAAAGCGATACTGTTTTCATACATTGAGTACTGCATAAAATCTCAATGTCTCGATAGTTTCAAACAAATCTTTTTTGATAAATATACCACTCCAAGATATGCATGCAAAAAATTCAGCACAATCTGCCGAGTCGGTCGTGAGATATCATTGTATCAGAGTCAGAATTATGAATTGAGTTTCTTTTAGAGTTCTGCGTAAAGTGCCCATACCAAATTAAAAGGTCAATATTTTTTGAAACAGCTTACGCTGAAGTCAATAAAACTTCCCTCTACAATATATCTGTAATTCAGCAAAATCTATTGATTTCCATTGAGTGGAGTCTCTATGAAGCCGGTGGTGGCTTATATGGATTAGCTCATATAAACGATCTATAATTAGACTGGATCTTGTACAGTCTGCGTTCGAAATCTTCCATCAAAGAAAAAAAGCTGTTCTGTTTTGGAAAACCATTCTGAAGTAGCAGAACAGTTTTGTTCTGCTATCGGAAAATTATTTGGAATACTTCGAAGTAGTTTCAAGTGACACTAAGTAGCTGAAAGTGGCTTAAAGTACTTCAAAGTAACTTGAAGTAGCATAAAGTAGGTTCAAGTAGCCTAAAGTAGCTTAAAGTGTGTGCAAAGTACTCGAACAGTGGCTCGAAGTACTTTAAAGTTGCTTGAAGTACCAGAGAAGTCGCTAAAAGTACTTGAAAGTAGTGCAAAGTAACTTCAAGTACAAAAGTCCGCTGTTTCCTCCTTGATATGGATAGTGATGGAGAAGATAAACTTTATGATGAGTTATTAAATTTTGGAAACGATGATTACAACGATGAAGAAGAGATATTAAATTCAACAAGATCAAATTTTGATGGAATAAAAATTGTTGATAATATTAATCCTATGCTGAAACATTTGTATTTTAAGATCAAAATAAATGATAAAATTAAATATCTTCACAAACAATCAGCTTGCTGGCTATTATCCAACACAACAACAAGATTATCAAGTGATCGTTTATCTCGGGCCATGCAACAAACAACTAACATTAGTTCATAAAATTCTTGAATTCTTGCTTTTTGTGTTCTTTTATTGATACTTTTTCTATGCTTAACAAATAAATAAAACAACTTTTTCGTATTTCTTCATCTTAATTGGTTTTCATTTGATAAGCTTTTAGCTTTTGGAAAACTATTAGCCTACTCTGATGTATTTATCGGTACTTGAAACTACTTTAAGAGACTTTGGAGGTACTTGCAGGTACTTGAAGATATTTGAAGGTATTTGAAAGTACTTGAAAGTACTTGGCGATACTGTTGAAGGTACTTGATGGTACTTTTGTAGGTACTTGATGGTACTTTGAAGGCACTTGATGATAATTTAAAGGTACTTGATTGTATTTTAAAGGTACTTGAAGTTACTTTGCGATACTTTTAATGTACTTGGAGCTACTTGTGCCTACTTGAAGTAACTTGAAGTTACTTTTGTATTTTCAGGTACTTTTGTACTTCAAGTCCGCCGTTTTCCCCTTGATTGATTCGTATCAGATTAGTAAACAAGTATTCATATGACTGTTTTTTATTTACACTCATTCGACAACGACCAGATTTATGCTT